TCTCAATCATCTCAGCTAAGAACATACCTAGAGAAAAAAAAGTGAATATTTAAAATACAATTTTAAATTTATTCATTCGTTACCTATAGAAAGATGTATTTATTGCTGTCTCCAAAACAATCAGTATAGGGAGTCTGTGTTGTAGCAAAACGTCATACAAGTTAGTACATTTTATTGAAAGCTGTTATTAAGGTGAAAGCACCTTCCCTATGTTGAAATGCTATCTAGGAGAAGAGAAATAAGTAAAAGAAAGAAGGCTGCTTGTGGCAAGGTATCTAGTGTCTGTCGAAGCTTTCGGTTATTCCTGAAGCAGCCTGGAAAGAGAAGTTTCTGTCTTAGATATAATTAGTTCTTGAAGCTGAGTCTATTACCACTGTCTTTTTTGAAGGACTGCATTGGCTTAATTTCTGCAAATTAGTGATTTTTTTTTTTTGTTTTACCTGAGGATCTACACTGTATCAGCACAGTCTCTCTCAGGTATATCACTCTGTAAGACTTACATTTTGTCACACAACTAATTTGCACCTTGGGGAGTCATTAGCATTTAGTTGACAGAAATCTAAATATTCACGAAGACCTTAGTTAGCAAAAGCAATCACCCTCTTCACATACTTTTCAGTTTTAGTACTGAAAGCAAATTTGTGGTTAGTTCGCATATACCACCAAACATTCCTTTTTATATTTGTACATATTAATCTAATGTGCCAAATAGTTCCTTTATGTCTTCTGATGTGGAAGATGACGGTGAATGTAATGGCAGAGATAAAAATCTTATATGCAACGTTTCATATATTGTATGCTATAAAGTATGAAGATCTGAATCAACATGTAAGTCATAGAGGAAACAGAAAATTTCATATTCAGTATCATAACATTCTTGAAACAAATGTTCTCCTTTCCTTCCACTAGTTCTTTCTTGAAAGGGAATTGCTCTTACCTACTATGGAGAGAATGACAACCACGAAATCAAAAATATTCCAGCCTATAGTGAAGTAGTAATGGCGAAGTGAAATCAATTTCAGGACACATTCTCCAGTGAAAAGGATAATGAACACAAGGTTAATCCGGGATAAAATTGTTTCCATTTCTTTACTCTGGTCATCTGTTTCTACCATCATTGTGACCATGTTAAGGCAGATGAGTATCATGATGCTGATGTCAAATACTTGTTTGGTTACAAAATCAAAGACCATGCCTTGGAATTTGTTCTGCAAAAACAAAGATGGAATACAGTTCATACTCTGAAAATATTTGTCTTTACAAATGCCAAATGGGAAAGTAAGTCCCTACAAGATTTAGGAGTGCAGAGCAAGACCCATTCACAATACATCTGTTAATGTACACCAAACCCATGCTGGTTTGTGCCCCATCCTGTTAGAGCAGATCAAGGAGTGTACCACTGTTGGCTGAAGGGACGGGAAGGGAAACAATGCAAAAATAATAGTAATAACATTGACAATTGATACTATTGTGTAAAAAGGGTGGTATGACTTATACCCAGCAAGAGTACCAGCCAAACAGAAACTCGTTTTCTTATCTTTATTCTTAGCTGGTTTTACAATACTAACCCCCAAAGATGTCTCTCTCTTCCTTAAACTAATAGTGCTTGGTGAGATCGTTGGACCACTGAAGATGCATGTCTCAAACACACTATGACTGCAATATCCTAGTTTTCCTTTAGTACTTACTTAGATGTTTATTGCCATATGTCTCTCCTTAGAAAGACCACTTTTAACCACTCGGTGGATAAGGTGCAACAAGTATTTTATTTTTTCTAAACCCTGTAGGAGTTCAGTAAATAACGGAGTAGTTTCTTATCTTAAAGACAAATTTCTCCTAGTTTATGCTTTAGTCCCTAGGGCATTCCTTTATTCTGTAAAATAATCTGCGTCTGTCTTTCTCTTTCACATTAGGTGACCACTGCCCCCTTCTGTCTTCAGGAGCAAGGGCCAGTGCATCCCCATTTCCTACAAATTGTCTGAGAGGAGAAAAAACAGAAAATTAAGTTTATCCATGGGTAACAAGAACCAATAAATGATCCAATCAGCTGTACTTTTCTAGGATTTAGGCAGGGAATTACAAAATTTATCACATTAACCTTAGTCAATCCTACAGTTCATACTAAAGAGCGTATGATTTTAAATGAAACATGAATGATCTAGTCCGCTGAATTAAAAAAAAAGGGGACAAATTCTACCTTTACAAGAAAATAATGGGAAAAAATATTTTCTTTCCAGACATATAAACTTCTGTTGTTGGCTAAAATCATATTCCCAAATGATTATGTAATATTAGGGGTATTAAAATCAAATCACTCTTACCACTGGCCTCGGTATAGGTTTCTGTGGCTTTTTCGATCCCAATTTTTTCATTGCGTTGTAATATTTCTTCTGTTCTTCTGTCATAAATATATCCTGACCTCCAAAGTAAAGAAATAATATCAAAACTAATTACTATCATGTCCACACATAAAACACTTAACTACAGTATGTCTCTCTGTAATATTACATTTATATTTGATTTATATAACAAAAGTGATTTTTTCAGATATTTGTAGTGTGGATACTCATATGCATTCCTATCAAACAAAAAACCCCCTTACTGGTGCCTTGTCAGGCTGACGGTTGAGTTTTTCCAGTGTCTTCATGCTGACTTTTCCTGATAGGGCTAAAATGGTTCTTAGTATACTGATGCTGTTAAATAACTTGCTGATTAGGCTATGTTTAGTGCATAGGAGCCTGACTGGTGCCTTACATGGTCTAAATTCTAGATAGACTTTTAGGATTACAGCTAGCCAAGTCTGAAAGTGGGGTAACTTTGGGGGACAAGTTGTGTCAAGGGAGAATATTTGGGACTAATCTGAGGGTTTTAATGACAGCAAAAAAAAATCACCTTTGATATAAACTTAAGAAAAGTAATCCAAATCATGCCATAGCAAATTGTTGTTTAAAACACCACTGGAACCTTGACTAACTCAAATTAGCCTTTGTTTGCAGATGCAAATGCTGCCAGTCAGATGTGCAACTGACTGACTGAATTTCAGTATAAAGTAAATTGTGCTTATTGATAAGTCTGAACTAAGTCAAATGGAAACACAATGTCAAAGTCTGGTGGATATCGAAGCCCAAAGCATGTAGCCCCAGAAGTAGCCCCAGACATGTTTATGGCTCTTTTAAGAAGCTAAAGAATATTTTCACAAGGAAAAATTTCTGTAGTTCACAATTGACTTTTACTGTAGATTCTGTTTGGTACTGCTGCTTTTTGTTTAGTGATTGGATAAAACCAAATATGAAACTGCTTTTTCACAGCATACAAAGATTTAGAATGATCCTGAGGTTCTAGTTTTTGGCAGTTGAAGGCTAAGAATCGTGAGGCTTCAAAATATTTTAAATGTGATTATTTGTATTTTTAAAGTTATTTTAAATAAAACTATATGCATTATCAATATAATTATTTTAAACATACTTGTCTGCCAAATGTATACATAAAAAAATCCTTCCTTTTGTATCTTTGCTTTATTATTGCTAATAAATTATAGATTATATTTGTGATTAACAAGTTCATCTCATTTCTCACAAAAGTGTTAGAAAAATAGAGCTGTTTTGTACACATTTTTACTTGCATCTTTAAGCTTATTTGTGTGAGGTCTATTGGACTTACTCTTAACCCATGTTTAATCAGTTTGCAGAACTATTATCTATTGTATGAACACAGTGCCATATTGTATCTTCATTAGGTGTCAACAGTTTATAAGATTAATTAAAATTAATTTATCTTAACTCTTTAAAGTTAATTAAAAAAGAAACTCTTCCACGGCAGATAATATTACATCTAATCAAAAGAATAACGCACATTCCCTTTTTGCATCTTTATTTTACCTCTTGCACAATTTGCAAATTATTATGAACTGACTCATGATTTGTCCCTCTTTGCTTGTCAAAATGCTGAAATGCAAAAGTCATACCACATCCACAGATTAAACACAGATTATGTTAAAAAAGAGATATTTTTATTCAAGGACTTGAAATAACTTTTGATTTTTATTAGCTTTATATAAATAAGTTATTAATTCATTATAGCTAATAATTTATAGCACTATGGAAACATTTTAAATACTTATCTTCTTTTTTTGTTGGTTGAAGTTGTCTATAATGACACCAATGAAAAGGTTCAAGGTAAAGAATGATCCAAATATGATAAAGATGACAAAATAAAGATACATATACAAGTTGTCCTCATACTTAGGTTGATCTTCTACCTACAAAATATTATAAATTTTATTACCCATGAGATGTAAACAACAATGTATATAATTTATTAATAGGTATATGCTCTCTCAGCTAGAAGAGCTATAAACTGCACTCAGTTATTAAAAAGACTCAACATGTCCATTTCAATCAATATTTGGAGAATTGGAAGCTGACAGAATGATTACTCATATGGAACTTTAAAGTCAATGTGCACACAGATATGTTTATGTATGTACATAGAATCATAGAATCATTAAGG